CAGAGGGAGTGTTCGTCTCATATCTGCACACACGCATGTTCCATGACTCTTGTTGCAGACAGTCCAAAGTTGTCATTCACAACATGCCATCGTTGTGCCAATTTATTTCGAGACGCTGCAAGACCTCACAGAGATGCAGCAGAACAGACATGGCACACACCGGCTGGAAAGGTCCATGCGTGGGGCTCCGGAAGTTGCCTGATCATGAGTTGGACGAGCCCAGGGGTTTTTGTGAAGCCTACGCGCATGGACTTCACAAGCATTGCTTGGACACTCGCATGTGCAACGTGAAGTTCGTAGAGATTTTTTGCGGTCCTTGTGCAACACTTTCAAATACAGTTGCGATGAAGTTTGGAATCACCCCTTTCTCTTTTGACTCACTACCCGGCCCTACCAGGGCCGAGAAGCTGGCAGGGGCAGAGGAGTTGAGCGTCAGTGCCCAGGATCCTAGCCGGGTAGTTCGACTTGAGATCGAACAGGGAGCTGGACCTCAAGGAGCGGAGACGCTCAAGGTGGATCACCACAAGGCCTTACAATGGTGCAATGTCGTAGGCTGCGAGCGTATTGCACTTCGTTTGAGAGAGTTGAATTGGATCAAGTGTGTTGGGGAGTCGAGTGCAGTCTTGATGCGTCAGAAGTCTGCAGATTTGAATTCTTCTTGGACTGCCCGCAAGTTGGGACTCAAGCCGAGAACGGAGTTGATGAAAAAGATCCAAGAGAGGTGCGGCATTGAAGACACCGATGTTCCAGATCTGTGCAGGACCGGCATGCCTATAGTGGGAGCTGCCCTTGAATCCATCCCACAGAAAATTAGTCTTGGGGAGTTGAGGGAGTCAGCCCCCGAACGTAGGTCCAAAATGATTGATCGGGTCAGGTACATGGCCAAGAAAAGCTCTCACGACCTAACTGTGGCAATTTGGGAGAAAACCCAAAAAGAAGTCACAGCCGGTACAATGGGGCCTCCCATGACTGAACAGGAGGCAACTTCCAAATATGGCCCATTTTTCAACATTGTCCCTAGCGTCGGGCTGGAGCAGGGTGTTGACGCTGAAGGGAATCCCAAATTCCGCAGGATCGACGACCATTCCGCGTGCATGAACAACCAGGCAGCGGAGAGGAGGCAAAAAATACCAATGGCCATGGTCGATTACTTAGCTGTGATGGTAAAAGCATTAGCCCTGAGTTGTGAAAAACCTTCCTGCAGGGTACATGTTGCAACTGAAGACATGAAAGCAGCATATCGCCAGATTCCCCTGAGTGATTGCGACATTCCTCTTTGCATAACCGCTGTGTACAACCCGCATGAGGACACCGTGGAGCTGCATGAGATGTATGGCCAGCCTTTCGGTGCTGGACATTCCGTTCCTAATTTCTACAGGGTGGCGGAGTGGCTCTGCAGAGGAGCTGTTAGGCTATTCCATCTGCTGGTTGATCATTTTTTCGATGATTTCTTCATTGTTGAAGCAGAGTGCTGCTCGACATCGGCTCTTTTTGTGCTGCGTGAGTATTTTCGATTATTGGGGTTCATGCTTGACCAAGAGAAAAGCCAAGCGCCCGCTGAAATCCAAGCTGTCCTCGGCGTTTTGATCAACACACAGCATTTGCATGAACAGCGAGCTTTTCGAGTTCAACCGAAGGAGACTCGCATTAAGAACATGCTCATGATGATCAGTCACATTTTGGACAGGGATTTTCTTCCACCATCGATGGCAGCCAGTCTGCTCGGGAAATACGGCTTCTTGTGTAGCACTTTGTTTGGGAAGGTTGGGAGATGCTGCACAGGCCCCATACGGGAACGGCAGTATTCCAACTCCGCAGAAACTTTTTTGTCAGCTGACATACGATCCGCCTTGAAGCTCATGGCCGAGTTTGCAGTGTCAGCTCCAAGTAGGCGTGTCTCCATCCAACCCCAAGCACCCATTATCATGTACACAGATGCTTCTGATGTGCCTGAACGCGTTGACGCAAGGTTTGTAGTAGGTGCTTGCTTGTTTGTTCCATCGATGCATGGTTGGCGGAAACAGTTTACGTATTGGATCGTGCCACATGAAGTTGTCAATGAGTGGTTGCCCAAGAAAACCATGATGGGGCAGCTTGAGATACTCGCTGCGGTCGTGGCTGTTGAGACTTGGGCGCCCGAACATAGAGAGCGGCAGTGTCTGCTTTTCATTGACAATGACTCTGCGGCAGCGACACTGGTGAAAGGTTTCAGTAGGAAGACTGACTCATGCTCGTTGAGTGGCGACTTTTGGCTTCGGGCAGCCAAACTCGCAACAGATATCTACATTGACAGGGTTGAGAGTAAAAGCAACATTGCTGACGGTCCAAGCCGCTTAATGTTCCAGGAAGTCTGGAGCTATGGATGCTCTTATGTGCCACCTCAATACACCGCCCTGCTGTCCAGGTCAGCACACCCCACCGAGTGGTTTGGCGCACCATAGGGTGAGAGAGCGAGCACCCCATATCGCCCAGTAGGGCAACATGCGTGCTACCGTTGGGGGAAGGGTGCTCTCGGGGTGAAGCATCATGAGCTCAGGATCTGTACGCATGCCGGTGGGAAGTCGCTCACCCCACACACGGATGCAGAGCAGAGAATCTGTCCATGACCGCTTGGGCGATCTGCGCCAGCCAAGATTCTCAACCCAAAGACGTATCACCATCATGGAAAAGAGTGCGTCCGTGTCCGCAACTCTATTTTCATGACAGCATTTGAGAAGCATCAGAATATCACTGCGCCAATTTGCAAGGAGCCGGAAACAGAAGAGGTGCGAACACATGGGGGGGGGGAAGTATCATGTGTATGTGAGAATCCCCAAGCAGCAAATGCATCTGCGTGAGCAGTGTTTTCTAGTATTGTTGGCTCACATGGCTGAAGGAAGATCATGGGGGTGTATGCAGAAATATACACTAATATCTATAAATATGTATATGTATATATATCTATATGCGCGTTATCTTGAATGTGTACGCAAACCAAGACTTGATGATAATGTTCATTCATGCACTAGTATACACGTACACGTTGTGATGATGGTCATGATGATGATAATGATGAGGACAATGATGATCTTCTTCTTCCTCCGCCGCAAAGAGTCTTTGCGTTGCGATGTTGACCAACATGTTATTCATGGGGTCCTTCAGGCTTTGCCTGGTAAAACGTGGCCCCGGCCCGAAGGCCCTTCAAGCAGGCCACTAGCGCTGAGAGACTCTTTTCAACCATGAAGCTAACTAGAGGAGCCATGTATCTAGGTCATCGTCGTATCTCAGCGCTTGGTAAGGAAGATTTTTGCTCAAAGAAACTGCTAGACTTCAGTGGTACTAGGCAAGTTCTTGTTGACACCTCTCCAGGATTAGTATGTACAATTGATTGCCCAGTGGTTTGACGTGTTTGGGTTTGATCTTAGTGGCACGTTTACCATCATGTGAAATG